TGGTCTATCAAAAATGTTTACTCATTTTATTAACTTTCTTAGTTTAAATCACTTTAGGATTACTTACCATGTTTGTGGTTTTCTTAAAATATTGAATTTGTAGAATGTTCAATGGGTTATAGGGATTAGTTGGTGAGATCTTCCCACCAACCTATCAAGTCGCGAACTCTCTTCAATACGAACGACTTAAGGAAGCTTCATGAGAAAAAATGTAAAAGCCGACCTAAAGAGAAGCGGTGAGAACAACTTAAATGAAGTCCTGAAAATAAGGGCAAGTCAAGGAGAGAAGAGAACGTGTAATAAGCTAACATGTACAGTAGAATCCAAAGTGTCAAATCAGCAATGACGTAGCTGATGAGGTAACATATGAGACAAATCAGCTGAATTCTATGCCAATTAACTCCTGATTTTTAGTGGGAAACGTGAACAAGTCAACCATTGCTTAATTGTTTCATGAACTGAACTCATGCATGATTTTCTGATTTAATTAAGGCTTCTGCATCAGGAAAATTACATGTGATAGTTGAAGAGCCTAATGAGTTTTAGCCCTTTAACACGCTGTGCAAATTATAATATGATACAGAAAGTACTGTAGAATAAAATATTTTGGCAAAGTAAAAGGAAGACTGGCTTTTAAGTATCATAAAGAAACATAGATGGAATCGTGGCGTGGGGACAGATCCTTCTTTAATTACTTCTACACCAAATTCAACACGCCGTGGCCCCAATCCCACAACCATCTGAAGGTCAAACTTTGCTTCTTACATTCACACTCTCTCCACTCACAATTTCAAAGCAACTGCCATGTGATCACTACCACCGAAATTAACCAATACTTCTTGAATTCTCCGTGGCCCATCTCAGAAACTCTATATATAAGTAACTCTATAGGAACCTATTCAGCATTACAATTTACAAACAGTACTATACACAAAGTTGAAGAGCTTCGTTTAGCTAGCCAGTTAAAACAGGAGATCCAATGGCCAGTCTGAGCTTTCTTTGTTGTGGGATACTCTTGTTTGCTAGTGTTTTTCTTAATCCAGTTGGCTGCCATGCTCAGTCCAAGCGTGGAGATGCAACACATAAGGCCTTGTTTGTGTTTGGGGACTCTTTGTTTGATCCTGGCAACAACCAGTATCTCAATGACACCACACAAGAGGTCGCAACTACATGGCCNTCTTCGATATTTCTTTATTAAATGGATATAAATCTTTTAATTGACATTGTACTATTTTTAACTCTTGGACCATATCTTTGAATGCAAATATTTCAATCAATTATATCAACTATGGTGTGTGAGAGGATAAGGTTACTCCTGATGGCAATATCTTGTCATATTCCCATGGTAAAATTTGGAACAAGTATATGTATATCTTATAATGAGACAAAGAGGGCACAGGACACGTGTCTTGTTGAGGCAGGCGAGTAGGTAGTGAGTGAGAGTATAACTTAGATGTCAAGGTTGTGTAAATCTAAAACAAATACCAATCAGGAGGGTTGTAGAGAAAGAGAGAGAAGAGATGCCAATAATTGAGGACATGGGATGACAAAATGAGTGGGGGAAATTGTCGAAGGATGTCTTTTTTTAATGATTCTAATTCTAAACTAATCATAATCACCTTCTGTAGTTCTGTTACATAAAATATATCACTTTGACCCCTTGATGTTTTATTGAATAATAAAATCTCCTTGAAGTTTCTAAAGTAATATTAACCCTCTTACCATTAAATTTTAAGTGTTAAACGAAAACAGTAGGAGGTCAGTTTGATAAATATTCATTGACTCATAGTAGTGTAAGTCTAACATCTCACTAATGATTCACTAACAACGACATGATTTTTGTAAGTTTAGAAACCTCAAGGGGATTTTAGGTGTGAAAAATCAATGAAAAAAGACAATTTAGTAAATACTCATTGAACTATAGAAATATAAATTCTATTGGCTCACTAATAATACAGATTTTCTTTAAAGTTTCTAAAGTAATAATAATCCTCCTACCATTAAGTTTTAAGTATTAAAAGAAACAGTAGGAGACAACTTACTAATGATTCACTAACAACAACATTTGATAAATACTCATTGAATGAAAGTATTATAAATTCTAACGGACGGGGATTTTTGTTATTTTAGAAGCCTTAACGGGTTTTTAGTAATGAATGAAAACTCAAGGAGCCAATATTTTTTTTTGCTCTTACACTGTAAAGTTTCTTGTTCTAGGATTCTCCACAACCCCACCTTCAATCCCTTCATAAAAACTTTATCTTGTAAGAGAATAAAATATATACAACTAGCTAGATATAGATGNGTTTGATGGTGGACATACTACAGAAAATACTAATACCCAGCTAGCTCAGCTGCTCTGGAATGGAGCTCCACCAGTCACAGGGCCTTACAATATGAAACAGCTATTCAGTCTTTGATCACCGTATTTTCTTATACATGTATTCAGATTAAAGCAGCTGCTTATTTTATTATTAGAGCACTGCAGCAGATTCCATTGATGTTATGTAGTATACCTTCTCATTTTTTTAATAATAATATTACATCTTATAGAGTTATATTGGAGTATTATTTTAGTTGATCTGGCAGTTTATTTGTCAACACCATATTGATTATAAATTTACTTAATCAATGTTAAAAATATGTATCCCATATAGCTTAAGATGAGGATTGATCAGTGTTAAGTTGGGAACAGAACAATTAATGGCTGCATCCCACTCGTAATGGAATTTGGAAGAACTAATCGTTCTTAAAGATGACAGTATGGGAATTCTGTAAAACTCAGGAGTAACATTACCAGGGCGTTCTGATTTATTGTGACGATGCAAAGATCGACTTAAAACTGGAGAAAATTAAACGACTTGGGTAAAGATCGGAAATGTTTGGCGTTGAAACAACATGCATGGGAGCTTAGAAGTTAGAAGACGAGTAATTGGGCAGCTAGGACTGTGGAATCCAGAGTGTTTAATGAGAAATGACGGAGGAAATGAGGTAATACAAAAGACAAATTGGACGAATTCAAGGGAAAGTTATGAAGATTTTTTTGGGAACATAAACAAGTCAACAAGTGCTTTTTAATCTGAATATTGTGGCATTGTGCTGATCCTGAGTCATGGTCAACATCATTGCATGTGACCTCATGGTATTAAGCACCAAGACAAAAGCCTTCCATGCATGAAAACCACGACTATAAAGAATAATATTACACCAATACCTCATTCGCATAAATTCGATGTAACAATTTATAATTGATTAATTCATAATTAATTAATGTAACTAATATGAGACCTATATAATAGAACCTATATAAGATCCATCATAAACTAATCAATTATAAGTTATCACATCAGGATCGTGAGAGAAAATTTATAAAAGTAATATTATTCATTATAAAAACTAAAAACTGAGGCTTTGTGTAGAACTCAAGCCATGGCAAGGGAGGAGGGACCCAACCAAGGGTTTGGGTAAAACTCACTCTAAAAAACTAATAGGAGAGTCAAACCACATGTATACATAGAGATGACAACGGGGCAAGGTGGGGTTAGGTTTCCCATTCTTCGTCCACATCCTCATCCCCATCCTCGCCCCCAAACCCATTCCCCATCCTCGTCCCTATCCCTGTCCTCACACTACGGGGAAAAGACTCATTCCCTACTTCCCTTAAAACCAGAAAAAATGCAATTAGGATGAGAAAAAAAAGTTTTTTCATTTCTAAAAACCACTTTTCAAACTTTAGGGAACAAAAGGAATACCTTAAAACTAGAATCAAGGAATGGGGAAGCTGAAGAGTGAATTGAATACAATTAGATGAAGGAGACGAATTTGAAAAGTCGAACAAACATGCAAAGATCTAGAGACGAAGGAAAATGTGAATTGGAAAGCCTAATCTAGAGAACTGGATGACAAATAAGCGACGTTACAATGATGTCGGTCGTCTGCAGTGGACGAGCGGCGGTGACTTGTGTGGAGGAGGTTTAGGGAAAAATTATGATAATGTGTAAGGGTGTTACTGTAAAATGTAAGCAGATCGAGTCAAGTAGGGGCGGTCGAGGGCCAGCTATCCCCATCCCCGGGGAGGGGGAATAAATTCCCGTCCCCATCCCCATCCTTGTTGATTGCAGAGAATCCCGGGGTGAGCTCTCGCAAAATCGGTTGCCATTGTAATCTTTATTTATACACCATACTAACCTACTAAATTAAGGATGTAATACAAATACAACTTTTAATATAGAACATACAATATTTTTATCATACAACGAGAATTGTACTTATTATTCAAATTTTTTTTTTTGATAAAAAAAAAGAAGCTGTAGAAAACTAATTGGACATGTAGTTAAACATGCATACATCATTTTTATGGTTTCAACATCTCCATCAATTGATATCATGAATGGAAACGCGACAATTTATGACCCCACCCCACACGTTTTGGAGAAATCATACTAAGAAATAACATTCTCTAATAAAAAGGTCAGATCTTAGAAAGATTTAATTAATAACTTTAATTGATGTTCTGATAGTAACAATTCATGAAGAGAATACAAAGTGTCAATACGGCAATGACGTAGTTAATGGGGTAATACATAAGACTAATTTGTTGAATTCCAGTGGTAACCTAAACAAGAGTCAACCATTTCTTAATTGTTTGATCTAAATTCTCAAACTCATGCGTATGATTTAGTTTGTCAAGACTTCCGCTTAAAGAAAATTGTGTCGATTCATACCATTGTATGCAAGAAACCTGTACATCTCTTTTAAGTACGTTAATATATCTCTCTTCAATTATGGATACAAAACTCCGACCCAAGTCAACACGCTATGGCCCCATGCCCACAATTCTCTGAAATTCAGACGTGTGCTTTTCATGTTCACACTCTCTCCACTCACAGTTTCAAGGCAACTGCCATGTGAACAGAACACCACCCCGGAATCAGCCAATACTTCTTGAATTCTTCGTGGCCCATCTCAGAAACTGTATATATAAGTGACTCTATAGGAACCTATTCAGCATTACAATTTACAAACAGTACTACACACAAAGTTGAAGAGCTTCGTTTAGCTAGCCAGTTAAAACAGGAGATCCAATGGTCAGTCTGAGCTTCCTTTGTTGTGGAATACTCTTATTTGCAGGTGTTTTTCTTAATCCAATTAGCTGCCATGCTCAGTCCGAGGATGGAGAAGTAGCACATAAGGCCTTGTTTGTGTTTGGGGACTCTTTGTTTGATCCTGGGAACAACCAGTATCTTAATGAAACCACACAAGAGGTTGCAACAACCTGGCCTTATGGAGAAACTTACTTCAAACGCCCCACTGGCAGACTTTCTGATGGCCGCACAGTGCCTGATTTGATTGGTATGACATTAATATTAGTCAGTAATTGCTACTTGTATCAATGCAACTGTGAGTAAATTTTGACAGTGTGTACATCATTAATATGTTGCAGCCCAGTTTGCCAATTTGCCTATACTCCCACCATACATGCAACCGGGGGCTCATCAATTCACTGATGGGACTAACTTTGCCTCTGCTGGAGCTGGTGTTCTCGAGGCAACTCATCCTGGAACGGTATACGCCTTTGTTTTTCTGTGGTGGAAAGTTTAGGCTTAATAGTGGGAATTAGTAGTTTGATTATTGTTCTTTTGTTTTTGCAGATACATCTGAAGTTGCAGCTTAGTTACTTTAAGGATGTGGAGAAGTCATTGAAACAGAAACTAGGTGATAAAGAGGCCAAGAAGGTGTTGAGGAATGCTGTTTATTTGTTTAGCATTGGAGGAAATGATTACTTCAGCTTTTCCTCTATGAACCGCAAAGCTTCTCAGTCCTCCAAAGGTCAATATGTTAAATCAGTTATTGGCAACTTAACATCTGTTCTCACAGTAAGTAACATTTGTCACAGTTTTAAACTTAAATTTTGTTCTAATCAGATGATAACCAAGAGTTCATGTTCAATTTTATTTTGTTAATTCAACTGCAGGAGATATATCATATGGGAGGAAGGAAAATTGCATTCCAAAATGCAGGGAAACTGGGTTGCCTACCAATGATGAAATCACTTGATCCAACACTTGGAAGTGCTTGTTCAGAAGTACCCTCATCACTTGCAAGACTACACAACAGATACCTGGCTGTTGTTCTTAAGAAGCTATCAACCCAGTTGCCAGGATTTAAATATTCCATCTTTGATTACTACAATGCAATTGGTGACAGAGTTGCTTACCCTTCAAAATATGGTAAGTTATTATGACCTCAACTTTCATCAACCATGTACACTTCATTTCTACTTCCTCTTACATTCCTTAATCATAATCTGTGTTGTAATTTGTGAAGGATTCAAAGAGGGGAAGGCTGCATGCTGTGGCAGTGGGACTTACAGAGGAATGAACTGTGGGAAAACAATAAATGGGACAAAATCTTTTGAGGTGTGCAGTGATCCTAAAGAATATGTGTGGTTTGATGGTGGACATACTACAGAAAATACTAATACCCAGCTAGCTCAGCTGCTCTGGAATGGAGCACCACCGGTCACAGGGCCTTACAATATGAAACAGTTATTCAGTCTTTGATCACTGTATTATCTTATACATGTATTCAGATTAGAGCAGCTGCTTATTTTATTCTTAGAGCACTGCAGCACATTCCATTGATGTTATGTAGTTATGTAGTATACATTCTCATTGTTTTAATAAAAATTATTAGATTTTATAGTTACATGTGGAGTTTTATTTAGTAGATTTGGCAGTTTATTTGGAAGAATTAATTGTTCTTGGGGACAACTTTATCAGAAATCTGTACTACTTAGATGCAAATTTTGAGTTAAAACTAGAGAAAACCACTTGTGTAAAGATGAAGTGTTTGGAGTTTAAAAAATGGAAGCTTAGAAGAAGAGTAATTGGGTAGCTAGCACTGTGGAATCCAGCCCGTTTATCGGGGAATGACGCAGGAAATGAAGTAATACAAGAGAAAAATAAGATTTATTCCAGGGAAAGCTACTGAAGATTATAGTGGGAAAATAAACATGTCAACAGGGGTTTGTTTAATCTGAGACTCAGACTTTTACATAATTTGTTGAATGAAGATTGTGCTGATTCATGTTACAACTTCAACAACAATTAGTAGCTCCACAGTCCACCCCACGCGTATTGATGAGATTGGAAGAAACGTTTCACAGCATTGTCAGGATGTTCACATTTATTCATGTGCCTTTGAAGTTTCATAGGTTGACTTCAGACTTGGTGAAAACGACTTGGTTAAAGATAAGTCATGTTGGTAATATGCTAGCATAATAGATGGCAAAGTTTTATCAAGGAAATTTGATTGATTCCAGAGCAAGTTACTGAAGAATTTTATTGAAACTAATCAGACTGCATAATCTGAATAAGCATACAAGATAGTCTAATAATCAAAGGTTAAAAAGTTGTTTCATATTGTGAGGCCCTGTGACTGGTGGTGCTCCATTCCAAAGCAGCTTAGCTAGTTGAGTGTTAGCTCTTTCTGTAGTATGTCCACCATCAAACCAAACATATTCTCCAGGATTACTGCATAACTCGAAGGATTGAGTTCCATTTATTGTGTTCCCACAATTCTTTCCTCTGTAAGGTCCACTGCCACAGCATGCAGCCTTCCCCTCTTTGAATCCTTCACAACATAAAACCCCGAAAACAAATTACAACACAGATAATGTAAAAATTAATAACATTTTAATGAAAGTTGAGGCCATAACTTACCATATTTTGAAGGGTTAGCAACTCTGTCACCAAGTGCACTGTAGTAATCAAATATTGCATATTTGAATCCTGGGAACTGGGTTGATAGCTTCTTAAGGACAACAGCTAGATATCTGTTGTGTAGTCTTGCTAGTGATGAGGGTTCCTCAGAGCAAGCACTTCCAAGCTTAGGATCAAAAGATTTCATTCCTGGTAGGCAACCCAATGGCCCTGCATTTTGAAATGCAATTTTCCTCCCTCCTATATTATATATCTCCTGCAGACAAATTTACAACATGAACTCTTAGTTATCATCTAAATATTGCAAAATTAAGTTTAAAACTCTGACAAATGACTTACTTTGAGCACAGATGTTAGGTTTCCAATGACTGTTTTAACATATTGACCCTTGGAGGACTGAGAAGCTCTGGGGTTTGTCTGAGAAAAGCTGAAGTAATCATTGCCTCCAATGCTAAACAAATAAACCGCATTCCTCAACACCCTATTGGCTTCTGCTTCACCTAGTTTCTGCTTCAGTGATTTCGTCACATCCTTAAAATAGCTTAGCTGCAACCTCAGACGTATCTGCAAAAAAGAGACACAAATAGGTTAAATTTCTGTTCAGATTATATATATTCCTTAATTTTATACAAAATACAGAAAACAAAGATGCATACCGTTCCAGGATGAGTTTCATCAAGAACTCCAGCTCCAGCAGAAGCAAAGTTTGCTCCATCAGTGAATTGATGAGCACCCGGTTGCAGGTATGGTGGAAGTATAGGCAAATTGGCAAACTGGGCTGCAACAAATTAATGAAGTATAAACCATCAAAATTCACTCAAAGTAATTCATTGATACATCAAGTAATTGAAGCAACTGACTAGCTAACATTATTAATGTGTTGTACCAATCAAATCAGGCACTGTGCGGCCATCAGAAAGTCTTCCAGTGGGGCGTTTGAAGTAGGTTTCTCCATAAGGAAAGGTTGTTGCAATTCCTTTTCTGCTGTCATTTAGATACTGGTTGTTGCCAGGATCAAACAAGGAGTCTCCAAACACAAACAAGGCTTTATGTGTTGCACCTCCAGGCTTTGACTGAGCGTGGCAACTAATTGGATTAACAGGAATACTTGCAAATAAGAGTATCCCACAACAAAGGAATCTCAGACTTGCCATTGAATCCTGTTGTAGTTTGCAAGTAAGTACCATTAATCAATATTTGGTGGTGGCGGGGCAGTTGCTTTTAAAATGGTGAGTGGAGAGTGTGAATATAAGAAGCAAAGTTTGACTTATGGATATTGAATGTGGGCTTGGGGGCCATGCCACTTTCACCAGTGGTCGGCACTGTTTGATGTGTTAGGTTTTTTGTTTCTTGCAAATAAGTAGACTTTGGGTTATTTTGTAAATTACTTGAAGAATCATCTTTACGTTATGGTTCAAAGGCCAAACTTTTAAAATACTGATTTCCCCTATATTTGTGTTTGGCAAATGAGAAATATATATATGTATCCTCATCTTCAATATTACAATGGGAATAGGTCCTCATTGTTGGAGTTGTCGACCATTTCAACAATAAGGGGCAGCAACCCCAGGCCTGTAAGTGGTTTTGGCTTAATTTTTTCATGAAGAGCCGCTGAACGATTTCTCTAAGTTATTATTTCATTATTTTGTTGGGGCTTAAGAATAAAAATCATCGTAATATTAGGTTTTAGTCTTTTAAACTTAATATATAAACATTATTTTCTCTTAGTACGAGTATGATAACAAATCATAGGGCAAATTACATTTATTGTAAATGAGAAAGGTGAGTCAGTATTATGTAGCCTATTAATTGGGTGAACCAGGATAAATCGTGCGTATTTCTTCTTTCTCTTTAGTATTTGTGGTTTGTATGTGTTTATTTTTTTTTTAGTTTCGTATTAATCTAGATTGTTTCATTCATGAGCCATTCAAGTAAATTATTTAAGAAAAATAATAATGTTTCATCGACACCACAAGTTTTTGATAAAATATTGTCTACTTTTGACACAAAATATTCTCATACTTCTATCTTTATATACTCATCCAAGACTTAATTTGTGTGAAGTTAAGTTAACCATGTGAGTATGTTGAACATTTTATGTGGTCTATGAGATACAAACATTAAACGTACCATTGTCTATCATCATCAATGTAATTGCTGACTTATCATATTGATTGTTAATAAATTACAATAATGTTAGATATACGAACAAATCTTACAAAGATTTGTATGCAAATTGACGTGACAGAAAATAAATGTAAATGAAAATTTGAAATGTTGCTTAGAGATTTTTTTGAAATTACTGAAATGAAAACTAGAAATTAACAACAATCTCAAGATCAGATATCCCAAGAGAACTTTTCTCACACGAGTCTTAGACCTATGGCTATGGACTAGAAATCCCAATCACCTTATTTTTCCGGGAACATGACATATTACATGCATGCATCTCTTTATTTAATTAGAGCTCTCCGAGCCTACATATATTTAGAGATTAAACAACATCTCGACATTGTAATAAGTCCTGTGACATGTTTTGGTCCTGTCCACATCAGCTGTGCTAGTTGAAAGTTGGCTCTATCAGTATGATGACCCCCATCAAAAAACACACACACATTCACATCTTCGCATAAATTGAAAGGTTCCTGAGTACTGCAATTTTCTCCATTCAGTACTCCACTGCCACGGCATCCAACATTTCCTACCTTGAACCCTGAAGGAAGATCAACAAAAAACCATAATCAATTTAATAATAATCTTGCCAATTAATTAAAGACGTACGTAATAAAAAACAATGATTGATTGATGCATTTATAATTACCATGTTCTGTGGGATGAAGAATTCTGTCACGAAGAGCATTGTAGTAATCAAATAATGCATATTTGAAACCAGGGTGTTTAAGCTCATATTGCTCCAGGACAGTAGCTAGGAAACTGTTGTACAATGTTGCCTGGCTCATGAATCTATCTACACAATCAACCTCTACATTATTGGTTTTTTGTCTGACATTTGGCATGCAACTCAACGGTCCAACATTCTGGAACCCAATTTTCTTTACTCCTAGAGCATAAAATTCCTACAAAAATCACAAAAATATATCTAATTATATGTACATTAAGTTACAGGTAATATATATATATATATATATATATATTATTGCAGGGTTAGGATATATCTTACTTCGAGTGCAGCTGTATAATTACCCATCACCTGCCCTACAAGTTCAACCTGCTCGGAAAGAGTAGGATCGCTGTTCATGTTAAACCTCATGTAGTCGTTGCCTCCTATGCTGAACAAGAACACCGATCTGTGCAAAAGACTCTGGGCTTCCTCGTGGCCTAATAACTGTTCCAATTGTTTTACTACGGTCTTGAAATATTGTAATTGTACTCCAAGGTTAATCTGAAACATGTACCAAAACACACACACACACACACACACACACACACATATATATATATGCTGACATGAAGCACACTGAGGAAGAAGAAGGACAGATTGCCGCCGTCTCACTCTCGCCAAGAACACCTGACCCGGCTGAAGCAAAGTTGATTCCATCAATAAATACACCTCTTTCCTCCAGGTATGGTACTGGTAGTCTCAATTTTGCATTAGTGGCTGCAGCCAGTAACCAAGTTCATATTTTAGAATATTATTATTACATTAATGTCTGCCCAAAGTAATTCTGAGAATAGTAATTATTTATTCTGCATCAATTTCTAACCAGCTAGCTAGCCTTATGTACATACCAATGAAGTCAGGGAGTAGACGGCCATCAGAGATTCTTCCAGTGGGCTTGTGAAAGAAGGTGATGCCGTAGGGCCAAAGAGTCCCCGTAGGAAACCTACCTTCATTTGCGGGAAGATGCGGATTGTTGCCGGTGTCAAAGAGTGAATCTCCAAAGACAAACAAGAGCTTATGAGTTTTAATATCATAACATTCCGTCACGCTAGAAAGGGTTACATAAAATGTAACAATTAAGTAGAGAACAAACTTGCTTCGACTTGCCATCACTCAATACACAACTCCACAATTACACACTTGTAGTTGTTTTCTTTGCTTTGAGCCTTCCCTCTTGCTCATATTTATAGTGTATTGCTGTTAGATCTTTTTTCTTTAAAGAGAAAAAAAAATCTCTGCACCATTATCACGTGGTTTAATTTCTACATTTGGTTGCTAGCTAGGGTTTTTGTTGGTTCTTGGAAGAGAAGTCCAAATGTAAAGGATGAATATTTGCAATGAAGGAGACGGCAAAAAGACACTTCTTAGTCTCTATATTTCATTCATAAAACAGAGTCATTTATACAGACTTTTTTAACACTGTATTACCTATTGCAATATAATAAACCTATTGCAAATCAACTTTAGTAGAAAACAAGCACCTAACCAAGTCTAAGTCTCAACTAAACAAGACACAAAATCTGCATTTAAATGGCTAAATATCTGCTCCACAACCACTGCAAACTTAACAAAATAAACATGAGCTGTAACTTTGGCTCCAAAACATATTTGAATATCCACCCGAAAGGTTGTCCCATTTCCAGCAGATTATCACCTACATCATCAGTTTTATGGTGCCAGAAAGGATTGCACATGTAAATAGTCAAGTAGGACACCATTTTTATTTTCTTAAGATGTCTCTATTTTATGAATTTGATTTATAAGTTTCATATAAATTGCAAAAAGATTTCCCATTTCCATGTGCTTTTCCGATTATATATACGTTTTCCTCTATATATACATACCATTGGTAGATGAACAACAAAATTAAATTCATTTAAATAAGTACAACCAAAACGAGATCACATGTATCTACTATGAATAATAAGATTTTTTTTTTCTCTGAATTGACATTTGCTTGATGGTGGACCACTGGTTCATCTTTAGCATAAACTTCCAAGAATTAGAGTTAATATTGTCTCTGGATTATATGTATTTGGATTGGTGGTCCTATATACATATACAAATTTATCAATTCAATTTGAATTTTTGTTATAACTTTTATTATTATTTTTTTTTATAACCGGGGTGTCCAAGTCAGCTTACGTGCACCTTAGCTAATCCCGAGGTTTCATTGAACACCCTATAAGTAAAATGGACTAGGTAAGTCACAAATGTAGTAGGTGACCACTGTGTATATATACCGTTGGTAGATGAATAACATGTTCGAATATTATGATTCGTTTTCCTATTTGTTTTAAAAATATTGTATGTCTTTAGGAAAATTATTTAATAAAGAATACGATTATAAATAGGAATGGAATTCTGAGTCATATTATAAATTGAAATATTAATCCTATCAGAAATAAAATGTCTCCTATACTACCAATAAATATAAGGATGAGAATCAATTCAAGGTTAGAGAACCAATTCAAGGTTATGAGCGAATATGAGAGTACAGATATTGGATGTAAGAGTTGTTAAACATGTAAAGTATCTTAGAAACTAGGATTGTAAGATTGTTTCCGCTCTAAGCATAGGGTTGAGCTCTATTAATTATGTATTGGCTATAGAGGATTTCTCTCATTCGTGGTTGTAGACGGGTTATACCAAACCACGTAAATATTGTGTCTTTTTGTACGATATGACTTTATTATTGTATTATTAATCTCGAATGTATATTTCCCATTGCACGATCTCGTAGCACAAAAAAATAAATTCATTTAAATAATTACTAAAACGAGATCATATGTATCTACTATATATGAATAATAAGAAAAAATCTTTGAATTCACATTTGCTTGATTGTGGACCACTGGTTCATCTTTTGCATAAACATCCAAGAATTTCCTTGCGGTGGTCCTATATATAAGAACGAATTTATCAGTTGAATATGAATTTTATGTTGTAACCTAGCTAACTTTCTTCCATTATCACCATTCTTCATAAATTATAATTAGAAAAATACACTTGTAGAGAATTTTGGCCTGTTTTTCATAAGATCATTGAATGAAGCAGTATAAGGTGATCTTAGACACGTATGGGTTTTAGAAACCAAACAAAAATATGCTTCACAAGGAAGAGATGAATCAAAATATTTAATATAGGACCACTGCTTCATTTTCACATATTCAGACAATTAATCACAATTAATGTTTTTGGACAATATAGGTATTATTATTCATTAATAACACTTATTTTCCATGTGGTGGTCCTATAACATGTTACAACCTAACTTTTTTTTTTTTTGGTAACCAGAATGTCTGGGCCAGTTTACGTGCACTTCAACTAATCCTTCGGATTCATTGAACACACTATAAGCCCAAAGGACCAAGTAAGCCACAATGTTATTGTGGTAGGTGACCCCAAATTTTGAACCCAAAAACTCAAAGAAGAGAGCAAACTTTGACTGTCAGGCCAGCCTCTTAGGGTTTTAATAACTTAACTTTCTTCACCACTATAGATTGAAATTTTTATATTAAAAGCAAAGAAATAATAATCATCAATATGTCTTCAGTGAATTTTAACTCGTTTTCTTGGTTAGTTTCCTTTTGAGTCGATATGCATCTTTTTGCAAAGAACAAATAAAATTGATTTTGCATTAGCTTACGTGAATGGAGAAGAAAGGTCCGACTTTCAAGTCAAAACAGCGGCAAAACAAAAGCTAGTTTATGGTAGGAGAGAGTCCAACTACACACACACACACACACACACACACACACACACACACACACACACTATAACAATCTACTAATTTGACGATGTGAGCCAAATTCAACTTCTAACACTTTGCAATATATTTATATTATTAAATCAAATTCACTTTGTGAATAGATATCTCATGTCTTACAATGAAAAAATATGAGAAAATTTGAAATGAGATAGAAAACGAACAGACTATAAATTTGAGTCGAGAATACAATTAGTACAAAGAATAATTAATCTATGGTACTGATTCATTGAATCAAGTTCTATAACAAGATGCATTTCATTTTTAATCCAAACAAAATATGCTTCAAGAGGGAGTGATAATTTTGAGATCTCTTTATTTTGATGTTGGAACTCTGTTTCCTTGTTTAAGAATTTCAAATTAAAAAGACTTGATTCATGCATTGAATGTCTTCACAAGGGTTGTACTACATATGTGTGCGAATTTATTGCTTGAATTCAAATGTTATCATAACCTAACTTTCTTTAACATTATCCTCTATCTTTGATAAATTAAAATAAAAATAGACTAATCATCAATCCATCCATTAACATCTGACTTTCACCACCCTTGGGTGACTGGGTGGGGCGATAGGGACTCTGCGGTGTATTACTCAAGAGGTATTGAGTTCGATTCCTCTCGGTAATAGGGGTGGTCACTGGAAGGTTTACCTAGTTGTTAACTTCTAGGCCTTGGGGGATTAGTCGAGGCCTCGGTCAACCAAAAAAAAAAAAAAAAAAAAACATCAACTTTCATGACAAAATATCATCAATCTTTAATATGGTCCGAAGTAGACAATATGTATATAATTACTATTTTTTATCCAATCATATCCAATATAATCTAGTTTAGTATCACTTTTTTTCCTGTTGAGGGTGACCTGATAAATTAAGATAATCGATTTGAGTATAATGTGTGGCATTTTGATAAACTGTTTAACCCAAGAGCTTGAACTATGAAATAAGGATCACACATTAATATGAAGTTTAACATATACAAACAGGAGATCCTCCAAAACCTCTCATCTAACTGTCCAAGTTTGAATACTTGATACTTTATTCCCCATATTGCACAAGGCTATCAATAGGCAAGACTCAACAACAATCTCTCATGTAGGGACGTAGCCAGGATTTTTAGTCAGTGGGGTCAAAATATTAACTATAAACCGAAGCCCCAAATCTTATAACTTAGACTTTTCAAACAATTTATGCTAACCTAATAACATTCAACTTATAAACCCATAAAAACTCATCAAATCCAACTCTAAGCATCAAGCAATTAACATATATATCAAAATTGAACCAAATCCACAAATCTCTGCAACTTAGGGTTTTATCAATTCTTTAAACCCATTCAAAATTGACTCAATAACTAACCAAAATTTGTCAAACCTAACTTAAAAAAACAACTAATTAACCCATACCTCACACATAAACAAGATTAAATCAAAACCCACATCAAAATCTAGGAGTTTAATCTTCCAATTTCAAACCCTATTGACATGTGATTGACTATACACGCCATATTTAGAAGATCTGGGATATTTGATATTGTCCAAGTGTGGTAGCCTAGCTAGAATTATATTGTTGCCTTGTATGTATTGATTTGCATTTATTCCTTTTATTTGCTTTCCTTACATGTTACATTTACAATTGTATTGTAACACTCTTTACATGAAATACAATATACACAAATTACTCAACTATCTTTTCTTGTTTGTATTCTCTCGGCATACTCAGCAACTAAGTTGCTTCTCTTGCCTCTGTTATTCTTCTTGAAACTCTTCGGCAACTCTGCTACCTCTTTGTGCCACTCTAATACCAGATTCTTACATGATATCAGAGCAGGTTTCCTAACCAACTCCTTTCCTTGTTGCATCTCTCTAATCCAACTCTTGTCCCTGCAAAACAAACTCTAGGATTAGTTCCCCGAAACCAAATGGATCCAAACTAGAAAACCATAACAAACCCAATTGGGCCTAACACACCAAATATGGGCTCAGATTCAGCAAATAGCCAAATTGATCCACACCAAACCAGCCAAAGCAGGCCAAACACTTAAACAAGCCCAAATATGCAACCCAACCAAGACAACCAAACTAGGCCCAACCCAACGATATTTCCTTTCGGGTTTTCGGGCCAAACCGGCCCAAACTTGTTTCCCTTCCAATTCCAGATTGTGCAACCCCAATCTCGCTGGTCGAAGCTTGGCGATCCTTTCTACTCTTCACCATCCAATGGACCAGAACTTGTTCTGGTTAAACAAGTCCTCATTGGTGCATAAAACTATGCGATGTGGGCTCGTGACTTCTGACGGGCACTCAGCACCAAAGACAAAGATGTTTTTATAGATGGCACCGTAACACTGCCAGTGGAGCCTCATCTCCACAAACATTGGATCATGCAACATGCTGGTCTGTTCATGGATTGACAACTCCCTAACCCAGGCGATTTATCAAGGAAATGCAATGTTTTAAAACCCAGCCCGGCTCGGCCCGGCCGGTTAAACTGGTTCAACCAGGACCTGGCCAGTCAGCCGGGCCTGGTGAGCCTTATAACCGACAGAATTACTCTGCCCAGCTTGACCCGCGGTTGGACTGGGGTGCTGTAGCACCCGTCGATCCAATCGATGACTTTAATGAAAACCAGGTCATGCACATTAATACAAAATTTAAAAAATAAAAATATTAAATTTAATAAATACTAAAATAATAAACACTTGACTTGAGTCTTCACTTAAACAGTATCAACATTTCCCCCCATTTTGACATTTTCACGCTACTTCTTCCCTCTCTTTTGTCTGAAAACTCTGAAAACCATTTTGCATTTTGCATTTTCATCATCCATGAGTCTCCCCTTCACCAGTTCACCTTCGAATCTCGTCGCATTAGCCTTCACCATCAACTGTATAGCTCATCGTCAGCTGGGCTACTGGGGTACCGCACGATCTGTTGTCAGTCCTCTCTTCACCGCCAATCTGCTCTATTCTTCTGTCACCGTCGATTAGGAAGCTACACCGTCATTGTCATCTTCTTTTTGCTCAGGAACTAACAAACGCAGTCGTGATCTCTTCTTCTCTTCTGCAATCTGCAGTTCTGCTTTGTTCAGTACTTCAGTGTTCAACTGTTCATCCGTCGTCATCAAGCTCCACCTCTCCAATGGTCAACGGCAACTCGTCTTCAGTCTTCACCAACACCAGGTATTGATTTGTATTTTCACTTTTAGTTTTTTACTACAATGTTTATAATTTAACTTTATAGTTTATAGTTTATAACTTTGCAGTTTATATTGCCGTTTGTAATCAGCAAGAGTCCCCATTGTCTCAGCATTGATTGACTTGTTATGTGATCTGTAATTTTCTTTTAGCTCTTTTAGAGGTAATTTGATGTAATCTGTTTATATTGTGATTGTAGCATTTAGTTTTAGGCCGTTGATTGACTTCATTTGTGATGCGGATGTAAAGTGAAGTTGAACACATGTTAATAATTTGAACCCCAAATCTTATACTTTAAATTTGTGTAGTCTCATTTTCTTATAGTATAGCATTAGAAACAGAAAGTTAAATTGCCAGCTCAAAAAGTTAGAATCACACATCAACAAACCATATATGGGAAATGGATGAGGCATTACGTGGTGCCTATTGGGATTGCATTATTCAAAAGCTGTCTCAGCTAATTACCATTTTTCTTATATATATATATCCTAAGAAGACCCACCAACTCCCTTGATTTTCTAAAGATTTCATCTCCGCAAAATAATAACAAAATTTTTATACACCGAACATGGTTTTATTCTTTAGTTTATAAGTAAATTGTCATGGAATTTATTAGCTGATGGACTATAATATTGGAAACTGTTTTTACCACCATCAAGTGATGGATTTATAACATTAACACTTAGATGCTACAAAATAACTTATAAATAAATAATAATTACACGTTTCAAGAGAATTTCTAATATCCCGACATTTCTATCGTAAAGTGATATGTCATTTTATATACTATTGATATGATAATGTAAAGTAAAATGATACATCACTTTGCAACATTAGTTTCTTCTATTGATATTCAGTTTCTTCTATTGATAGTATGAGTGATTGCAAAGTGTTTGTGGTGAAAAATGATTGATTAGTTGCTCTCTGAATTGTTGTAAGTTGTAAGTTTGTTTGTTTTAGTTCAGTCAGTTCACTACATTAGCCTACATATATATTTTGATGTTACAGCCTGTCGGTTGAGATGTCATCATCTGGGTCTTGTCAGCAATCTGCTTCCATGGATGTTTCACAAACTTTTCGAGGAAGAAATGATATAGCATGGGCAGATGTTAATGAGGGCGTGGATGAAAATGGGAAGAAGATATTAACTTGTCGTTACTGTGGCAAGATAATTAGAGGTGGAGGAATTTATCGAGTGAAATTACATCTAGCGGGTATAAAGGGAGAAGTTGGAAAGTGCCCTAAGGTTCCTTTCGATGTTAAATTCAAGATTGGAGAAGCACTAAATGAAATTGGGGCCAAGAATAAACAAAAAGTTGAACTTCGTAAGAATGTCAATCCTTATGGAGCTAGTGTACAACAAGAAGAGGGTGATATGTTAGATGAAGATCAAGAGTGTGAAGAGGTTTCTCCATGTCCAACTCCAACTCCAACTTCAATTTCAAGCTCTAAGAGAAAAAAATCTATTGGGATAGGTGACTATTTTGCTATGAGGACTAAGGCTAGGTCTCAGCCCTCAATTAGGAGTGTTTTAGCCAGAAAAGAAGCTAAGTGGAGAGCGGACATGGCTGTTGCAAGGTTATTTTATGATTCTTGCATTCCAACTAATGTTATTAATTCAATTTATTTTCAACCTATGGCGGATGCTATAGCTGCAATTGGTCCTGGGTATAAAATCCCAACTTATCATGATTTGCATGTAAATTTATTGAGAGATGCAAGGAAAGAAGTGCAATTACTTGTTGATAGTTACAAGAAAACTTGGGAGGATGTTGGATGTACTTTAATGGCTGATGGTTGGATAGATAATTCACATAGGTCGTTGATTAATTTCCTAGTATACTGTCCTAAAGGAGTGTGTTTTGTGAAATCAGTGAATGCTTCAGATGTTGTAAAGGATGCTATAACATTGTGTAGCTTGTTTGAGGAAATAGCTTTATGGGTTGGACCAAACAATATTGTCCATCTTGTCACTGACAATGGAGCAAATTATAAAGCGGCTGGAAAGTTGTTGACTGACAAATATAGCAGTATTACTTGGTCTCCTTGTGCAGCACATTGCATTAATTTGACGTTGAGAGACATAGCTGAGATGAGTCATATAGTCAACCTTTTGACACATGCATCTGAGGTTACAAAGTTTATGTATAATCATTCCTTTGTGCTAGCTTTGCTGAGGAAAAAACAAGTTATATACTTTTACTTCATATGTTTATAATTTACATTGTCAAGACATATTATATATGTACACTTTTTAATAATTTACTAAGTACTAACATCTATTGTCTATCACTTGAATAGGGTTGGACAGAAATTATACGCCCAGGTGCAACCCGTTTTGCCACTACTTTCATTGAATTAAGAAGACTACATCAGCACAAACATGACTTGCAATCTACAGTGACAGATAGAACTTTTGTGGAGTCTCGATATGCAAAAACTAATAAAGGCAAAGCCTTTATTTCCATAGTTCTAGATAACCGGTTCTGGGATGACATCGGTATAATTTCCAAAGTTGTGAGTCCATTGATGCATATGCTCCGGATTGTAGACTTAGATAAGAGGCCTTCAATAGGATATGTGTATGATGGCATGTACAGAACGAGGATGGGGATCAAGAAGTTGTTTAAGAACAAGAAAAATTTGTACAAGCCTTATACAACAATTATTAAGATGCGTTGGGATAGGATGTTGTGCCGTAATATTCATGCAGCAGCATATTATTTGAATCCTGCTTTCAAATATGACGAAGATACTTTTTCCAAAAAACCTGAGGTCATGTATGGTTTTCTTGACACTATTGACAATAAAGCAGGTGCATTCAAAATGAGCAAGACAAAGTTACTAGAGGAGAGTAGATTATATAGAGACCATCTAGAAAGATTTTCTCGTGAGCTTGCTCTTCAAACTTGCAAAACTACACGGCCGGGTATGTAATAGTTATTAACTTTTTAAGTTTAATTTTTAAGTTATGAAATTGTGTTTATTTCTTATGTAATTTATAATTTTATTCTCAATTAGATGAATGGTGGAGGACATTTGGCTTTAGTGCTCCAAATTTGCAAAAGTTTGCAATCAAAATTCTAAGTCAAACTTCGGCCTCTTCCGGATGTGAGCGAAATTGGAGTGTTTTTGAACGCATACATACTAAAAAGCGGAACAGATTGGAGCATCTATGGTTGAATGATTTGGTTTTCACTCATTATAACTTGCGTTTGCAAAATAGGTATAAAGCCTTCTTCATTTTTTTATTTTTATTGATGTCTTTCTTGGTCATGATTTGAATATTTAATTCTTCTATTTCAGGAGTTGTTACAAGAAAATTACATATGATCCTATTGATTATGAGAGTATTGATAAAACTGAATGGTGGATAGTTGATGAGGAAGAGGAGGTTGGTGAGCTTAATTATGAAGAATTGGAACAATCATTATATGGAGAAGGAGCTATTCCTATAGATGGTGGTGAATCTGGTGATCACCTTTCTTATTATGACTCAGCAGATGCTTCAGAAGGATATTTACAATTTTTTAAGCAATTTCAATTTGGTATTATCTAGTTTATATTCAATTAGTTTAAATGGGAAAATTTAACTTATGGTTTTCCTTTTTTGCTAGAGTTTTTTGTAGATTATATCGCCGATGTTAATAATGATGACGATCCTCTACCAGGTAGTGTGTGAATTATGAATTGTGAATTTTAATTGAGGATAGAATGATGGATTGAAGACCATTCGGTGAAGATCATTTTTGGTTAGAATGTTGAAGTGTTGATTTGGAAGTTGAAAACTTGAAAGTTGAAACAACTATTATGTGATTTTTGATTTTTCTTCATTTATTTTGTTATTTTGATTTGAAATTTGTTGTATTATTAATGTAATGATGTATGATAATGCTTTGTTAAGGAGTTTTTATACTAGAATTTATGATTTGGAGCAAAATCTGGGAAACACATATTCTGTGAACAGTGTTTTTGTGATGTCATCATGCTGATGTCACCGATTGAACCAACTGGTTCAACCAGTTAAACCGGTCGACTCGGGACCCAGCTATCTTGCGGAGTTTTGTCCCGGGTCGATTTTTAAAACATTGAGGAAATGTATGGCTAGTTAGATCTGGCCAAGATCTTCTCACTCCGGCAAAGAGCAAAATCAGACCATGCTGGTATACTACAACCGCCTCTCGGCTATATGGAATGGACTTGATTTAGTCATCGATCCTCTTCATGGACCACCGTAAACCTTGTAGTAGTTCTAACAGATCAAGGAACAAGATTGGTTGATCCAGTTTCTCCTTGGATTGAACAACTTTCTGGCTTTTTGCATGCAAATGCTAGCCACCACCTTGCCACTGTCACTCTGCCGTGTGTATCAGCTGGCTGTCTAGGACGAGATTCAATGCTGGCCTCCATGGAATCACCACGATTAATTAGTGAGTCCGTGGCCTTTGTCGCTGATAGAGAAACCAAAGGGGAGGGGCTGCGCCTAGGGTTTTCAAATGAAAAAGAAAAAGAAAATGTTTTATATAAAGGAATGAATGGCCAGGATCATTCCAAATCATCCAACGGCTAGCAAGCAGTCAACCAAGTCAATAGTTAATCTGGTCAACTTTTTGGGAACTCATCTAATGACCCATACCTTGGCAACTTTCAGAATGGATCCAATGGCTCAGGATCGTCCCAATTAGGTAAAAAAATGTACCGTGACTATTGTAAAAGGAGGAATCACAATTGGGACAGATGTTGGAAATTACATGGTTACCCTAAGGATAATAGTGGCAATCCTACCACGAATAGTATGAGTGCCACAACCATATTGGGATTAGAAGACCAACCACCCTTAATCAAGCCTAAACAAATCACTCAACTCATCCAGATGTTGAATCAACTCCCAACAAACAACGCTCCTACTAGTTATGCAGGTACATCTTTCTGTTTCAATAATTCAATATCCCGTGATTTATGGATTATTGACTTAGGGGCTAGTGACCACATAATTTGCGACCTTAAATATTTCCAATCACACATAAACAACATCCCACAATTATCTATTAGGACACCAAATGGTAATATTGCTCCAGCAACTCATACAAGGGTAGTCAAACTCACTGAAAGCATAGTTCTTAGAAATGTCCTTTTTGTCCCTACTTTCAATTTTAATCTTATATTTGTATCCAAATTTTGCAATGATAATATTTGCACATTACAATTTCTTCCTAATATCTATACCATTCAGTTTCCTTTGACTGGTAAACAGATGGGCTTGGGTAAGGTCCACCATGGTCTCTGCTATTGGGAGCCTTTTTCTTTTTCTTTTTTTCCTAGAAATAAAGACTATTATTGTAATGCCAATATTAATAATAATTCTCTGTTTTGTATCAGGTCACAGTGCATCTATACCTCACTCAAATTGTCCAATTTGTCCCATTGCCAAACAACAAAGAACAAGTTTTCCCATTAGCACATCCTCCACTAAAAAACCTTTTGCCCTAATCCATCTTGATATCTGGGGCCTATGCTCTATTCCCAATCATGATGGATCCAAGTTTTTCCTAACAGTAGTTGATGATTTTTCATAAGGAACTTGGATATTCCTAATGTAATCCAAAGACCAAACCTTCTCTCACATCCTCAACTTTCTCTTTATGGTCCAAACACAATTCAACACACGGGTTCAAAGGGTTAGGACTAACAATGCTTTAGAATTTTTCAACCAGTAGTGTTCTTCCTTGTTCCTTTCCTATGAAATTCTCCATGAGAATTCTTGTACTTATACTCCTCAACAAAATGGGATTGTTGAACGAAAACACCGTCACCTTTTAGAAGTAGCCCGAGCCCTCAAACACTAAGCCCATATTCCTGCCACCTTTTGGGGCAAATGTGTGATTACTGCCACTTATCTTATTAATCGCATGCTTACACAAGTTATTAGTAAAACTCCTTTTGAATTACTATTTGGAAAGATACCAGATAACACTCACTTACGAGTTTTTGGTTGTTTTTTGTTACTCCACAATAGTGGGCTCCCATGACAAATTTGCTCCTTGTGCCAGGTAATGTATTTTCATGAGGTAGCCTATGCTCTAGAAAGCATATCGTCTTTATGATCCCCAACTTAACAAGTTCTTTGTTAGTAGTGTTGTTTTCCATGAGGGAATTTTTCCCTTCTCAAATAGTACTACTTCGTCCCCTCCATCGGCGCATGCAACATTGGATCACCAGCCAAACACTCCCATCACCGTGGTTCCCATTTCGATTGCTCAGCCAAAGTCTGTTCATGCTCTCACTCCTGATTCGCATCAAGACTACAATTTCTGATTCACCTCTGGAATCTCCCCATGCCACGAATCTGTCCACCACGGGTCTCGCTCAAGATATTTCTCCACCTCTAGATTTGGGCCCTCACACTCCTTCACCAGACACTATTTCTCTATGATGGTCCTCTAGAGTTACTTGACCACCTGTATGGATGGCTGATTACATTTGTTCCACCATTGAAGGTATTACTTATCCCATATCTAATTATGTCAGTTTTGACAGATTATCCTCTAGCCACAGATCCTACATGAGCAATATTTCCATTGGTCGGGAAGCAGTCACCTTTTCTGTTGTCCTTCAACATGATTGTTGGCATCAAGCCATGGAGGTAGAATTAAATGCTTTGGTCAACAATCACACGTAGGACCTCATTTCACAACCCTCACACTGTAATCCTATTGATTGTAAGTGGGTCTACAAAATCAAATGTCGTGTTGATGGTTCTATCGAAAGGTACAAAGCTCACCTTGTTGCAAAAGGCTACACTCAATGAGAAGAGTTTGACTATCAGGAAACCTTCTCACCTATAGCCAAACATGTCACTGTTTGTCCATTTCTTTCCGTTACTCCTCCCCATGATGGGTCACTCCACCTGATGGACGTTCATAAAACCTTTCTCCATGGGGATCTTGATGAAGAAATTTATATGGATATTCCTCCGGGTCTTCTCAATCAGAGGGAGAATCTTGTATGTAGGTTGCAAGAATTTGTATATGAGTTGAAGCAAGCATCACAGCAGTGGAATGCAAAGTTTACAGAAGCTCTCACAGCCATTGGATTCACTCAATCCAAGCATGATTATGCCTTATTCTTCAGACAAAAGGCCGAGTCTTTCCTCAGTAGTCTATGTTGATGACATTGTCAATATAGGAAATGATGAGAAAGCAATCACAAAATTAAAAGAGTATCTTCACAGTACATTCCACATTAAAGATCTAGGGGCACCAAAGTTTTTCCTAGGTATCGAGATTGCTCATTCCTCGGAAGGAATATCCATCAGCCAATGGAAGTATATGCTTGAACTCATTGCAGATTCAAGGCTAGCTGCATGCAAGCCAAACGTCATTCTTGTAGAACAAAATGTTAAGCTCTCACACTAGAATATGATGAGAAAAGCTAAAATCCTGAGATTGATCCATTATTAGAAAATAGTTCCAGCTATTAACGACTTGTTGGAAGGCTCATATACCTTACCATGACTTGACCAGAAATTAGCTATGTAGTTCAAATCCTTAGCTAGTTCATGCATGCCCTAAAGCAATCCTACATCAATGCAGTAGTGAAGGTACTTAAATATTTGAAGGGTTGTCTAAGGCTGGGATTCTTCTTAGCAAGGAAAGGAGATCTCAACATCATTGCGTACTACAACTCAGATTGGAGTTTATGTCCAATGACAAGAAGATCCCTCACTGGTTTCTATATTAAACTTGGAGAGTCTCATATCTCATGGAAAACAAAGAAGCAAACTACCATATCACTCTCATCAACAGAAGCAAAATACATAGCCATGGTCAAAACCACATGTGAGGTCACGTGGATCCTA